TATATATATCAATCAATGTGAAACTAATCTCAGCAAATGCCTTGAACATTGACTTCACGTGACCGCTATTCAGTCAATCTTCCAGGTCTGGTGAGAGTGGGGGCTGGAGACTTGCTAAGAGGATTGGCTGCTTCTACCAGTGTCACTCCTGGAAGAAGCAAGGGGTGCGTTTCCATTGAGGGCAGGCAGTTAGGGAAATATGTTTACCCTCTCAGACAGAGCAGAGCTCGGTAGGGGGCATAGGGGCAAAGCTGATTACGGGGCTACAGACAGGTACGTCATGTATCAGAAATCGGGGGCAGAAACTGACCAGGCCAGCAAAGATCTGCTTCCGTGCTTTCTGGGGTCAGATTGCAACAGCAAGGAAGAGGGACCTGGATCACCTGGTAAAAGAAAGCAATAAAACTTGAACAGGCCACCGTTACATTTTTTATTTAATAAATGTGTGTTTTTCCATGGATTTGTTTGTAAGGGTAGCATACTCTTTAATATTATTTCTTCTTACCATGGTTCTTTTGTGCCACATTCCAGTAGTCCAGTATTGCATATTTTTGGGCCTCATCCCTCCAGTGCAAAATACTTAGCTTAACCCCTTCGTGACTGACGACGTACAGTGTACGTCGCCAGCATCGAGGCTGTTTAAACAGACTAGATTTGAATATCACTATTTCACATGCTGATGAAATCACTTACAATGGATGCTGCTCCTTGATGTTTAAAAGTTTTAGTTTCCTGTAGAATCAGCTGGTCTCCTGAGCACTGGTCCTGACTTTTTGTTTTAGAGTGACTAATTTCTCAAGTTATGCAGTCACCCTTGTGTGTGCTAGTATGTTGTGTGTGTCTCCACAAATACACAGACATAGCAAATCAAGCTACTTCCCTGGCCCCCTCTCCTCCCTTCTCCAAGCTAGTAGATGAACAGTTGCTGGAGTCTGCTCCATCCCTTGTGATCTTGTACTGGACAGGAAGTTCAGGGAATCTGAGCTGAGACACTTGGAAGCAGCTGTTCAGAAACATGACAATTGTAAATACTTGGGCAAGAATATAAAGAAATACTTTGCTATGTGTTTGATCTGGATTATTATTGGAAAACGCTTGAGAGTTTAATACTACGTTAACTTAGTAGGCATATTTGTGCAGACCACTTTGTTTTTGTATAAAGGGGACCTGTGAGGATAGAAATATAGGGGTAGACTTGATTGTCAAAGGTACAAGCTGTTGGGCTATCATCCTGATATGACTTCCGTACATAGTAAGTCACTGACGTGTTTAAGTAGAATCCATTTTTTTTTTGTTATTAGAATGAAGAGGGTTTAGAACACATGTTGGGTTTTTATTGCTGTCTGTGCCTTCGTTGTGGAGGTTAACCCACTCTGTTTGTCCTGCTGACCATTATTGATAACAGTGAAAGTGAAAGAAAATCCAAATTCACGAGAACAGGCCTAGAAGGGAAGCCCTCCAATGGAGACACTAGTTCTCTTGACTCAGGTAGCAACAGGGATTCCTGTCCTATAGCCACAACAGGAAGTGAAAGATATCTGTGCAGTGGAGCACAGATGGCAACAAAACTGATGGGTTATATAAGAATAAGATTTGGCATTAATTCCACTTTAAACTAGGCATGCTGCAGTTTGTTGTAGCACAGGCTGTGTATAAAGGAAGACTCAAATAATGCTGTAAATGTGATGGGAATATTTTAATGACTATTGCTGGATGTCTTTGAGGTAGCAAACAATACAAAGTAATACATATAAAAATGTAAAGTTCGCTAAAATGTTCATGGTTTGGGAGCTTTTAGTGTATTGAATATGAGAGGAATATTGATTCGAAGAGTATCTATAGCCTTTTTTTTCTAGTTTTGGATTGCGTAGGAAAGGACTCAAACCCCTTTCAGGTTTTTATTGCCTGTGTGCCCCTTGGGGAGATTCACCCTCCTGTATTTGTCCTGGTGACCAATGTCGGTGGGGAATAAAGTGATTGGAAATTTAAAGTCTTACAGCTGTCACCAGAACAAGAATTGAGAGGAAGTACACCAATTGAGACACTTGTTCCAGTGACAAGTGTCTGAGAAGGGATTTCCTCTCACTTGTTGAGTCTCTAGAACAGAAAGTAAATGGAAATCTCCCCAGCGGGACACAGACAAGATAAACTGAAAAGCAGTTTAATCCTTTCTTAGGTTTGGCCATATGTACACTTTAGTTTCAGTTCTCCAGAACTGTGAATGGCAGAGTTTTTAGTAATACCATTATAATGTTGTTGTTGTTTTTTTCTTCTTTCAGCTGAATTGGAATTTGTCCAGATCATTATCATAATCGTGGTCATAACGGTAATGGTAGTTGTGATTGTCTGCCTTTTGAATCATTATAAACTGTCTACGTGGTCCATCATTACCAGACAAAGCCAAAGTAGAAGACAGGAAGAAGCCCTACAGCCGGTGAGTTCTAGACCTCCCTCTGCTATTTGAGAATGGTGTATAGCATTGAGAGCTGACAAGAAACACGCATAAAGAATCATAATTTAAAAGTAATGCAGTGACGTTTTAAGATGTCAGAATGTCATCACCAGTTTTACTCCCTAAATAACAAATGACTTTGAGGCAAACTTTTATTTGTTAACGGTCCGTTGAAAAGAATAGCTGGAATCTGCTATGAGCAACAGTTTCAGTTTTTATGCCAAAGTTTAAATAAATAAACCCCGTCTAGCTGAATTCCAGTCTGTCCTAATTACATTGGTGTGTATGCATCTTTTTATTTCTCTTCTTATGAAAAATATGTCTGTGCCACAAGTATGACATGAGTAATAATGAAGTCTTCACCTGAAATGTAGCTTATAAAATGTCTTTGCATTCCTCCTTCCATTGTGTTTGGCTGTGTTTTGGATTCAAACAGTGGAAAGGATAGTTTCCTCTTGACAGTGCACTTCTAAAGTAGCTCTTGGCATTGAGGTTCCACTTTGCTTTTTGTGATAGGAGGCATGTGTCTGGCATGACCCAGACAGCTGAGTGAACATTGCGCCTTTGCTCTGTAGGCTGGGTGAAAGGCTTAGCTGCAGGAGGTAGTCACTTCTCATTAGGACAGGCAGTGGACAGGATTTTCTCGTGCTCCAGGGGTGCTATTCTGGTGGAAGTCCTTTGTGTTTGTAAATTTTATTTATTTATTTTTTTACCAGTCATATGAGGACAAGAACTTTTCTTCCACATAAAGGAGCCGTAAACAAGCTTAGCTTTATTGGAACTAAACCAGAATTCCTCAATACCGTTATGCTGTATGTTTCAAAAATCCCCCCTTTTAATATATTTTACAATACACAAAAAAATAAAAAATCTAACAAAAATTCCAAGAGGAATGGTGGAGAAACCTCACTAATAATAGCTAATCTGTCTTTATTAATTGCAGTATATGTGCAGAAACACAAAACAGATGAATATTTAGACATAAAGCGACATATGCCTTTCAATGGGGTAAAATTACTTGTTATGAAAGATGCGGTCTCATATGTTTTTCTAACATTTAAAATGATAAAACATTGTATCTTTGGTTATATCCATTGTATCGACTAAAGACACACTTGTGGTATAATTTGTGAGGAATGGTGGGTGGGTAATGCTGAAGAAGGGAAGGGAGGATATACTGGGTTTGTCAGGTCCAGCGTGACTCCTAAAAAGAGAGAGAGAGGTAATGCTTGGGAGTAAAGAGGTATCAGTTCGGAAGTTAGAGGGAAGGGGAGTTTAGAACCTATCCCGTAAAGAACGATAAGCATAATATAATTTATTTTGTCTATCCATAGTGTTAAGAATGTAATAGCTGATTTCCATAAGATGGGTATGAGTTGTCACACTGCAGCGATAAAGTGGTGTTTAAAAAAAAAATAAATTCTTGCCTGCTATAGGCAGAAGGACAGTTTCTGGAGATGGTGAACTGGAGGTGTTGTAAACCTCATTACAGATAGAGAAAATGTCAGTCCAGTACACTTGAATAGGAAGACATTCCCACCAAATGTGCAGGTAGATTCCAACCTCTCTTCTGCATCTCTAAAATATGTCTGAAACATTAGGATAAATGTGATGCAAGGAGACAGGGTCTATGTAACATTGTGACAAGATTTTGAAATTGTATATTTTTTTCTCCTGTGTATAACATGAGATTGAAGTATTGTGAGTAAGAATGTAGGCCTTTTACCATTCTTAATTTGCAATGGTATGCCTCAAGTCTTGATTCCATTCTCTGTTATTTAGAGGATGGAGATTATTGTACCTCACCGGTAGCATCCCATAGAGAATGGACGATATCTGACCTGGTGGGTAGGGGAGTTCTGCGACTCTGTCAGTGGGCTATGTGTATGTTGGGTAGGAATGTAGGATTTTATAAAGCATGTCAATCTGTAGGGGTAGGAGCCAATGGTCTTTTGAAAGATGCGGGCTGGTAAAGCACGCAAGATTGTAAGTTTTGCATGCGTGAGATTAGAGAAGATTTCTGATGTATGTCAAAGTTCGCTAAACCAGTAGCAGAAGGTAGGAACTGGGGGATACAGTGACATAATTTTGGTGATTTAAATTAGGGCCTTAGCCCATTTGTTCTAAAGAGAAGAGAGAAAGTTGCAGTTGACAATGGCAAAAGCTTTTTTTTTTGTAGCATCTATCAACAGAATGCAGACTGGTATTTTATGTTTTTGGGCATAGGAAATAAAAGGTTTTGCCATTTCTGGATGGATAAAAGCAAGCAGTGTGACTGGATATAGCATCACTGTCGTTTTGGGCCTCATGAGATTATTGCTTTTGGTTTCCAGATGCAGTTGTTTCATATTTTCTAACAGGCCACTAACCAACTGTTCCATTTTCTCTGGAGAGAAGGGAATATAGTTATTATGGCCACATTCACCAGTGGGTGAAATTGAGAAGAAGAGTGTAGTGGATTCTGGCAGGTTTGAGCAGATGTTTCATGTTATTCTCAGTGTGACATGTCAGATGTCTCAGTCCATTCCTGTTCTTATGTACACTAATGATGCTCCCTCATACTGAGGGCTTACTAAGGAATAGTCATGTATTATAGAAAACCTGTTCGAAGTACCAGAATTCTGAAAATGGTAGTTACTTGACTTAAAGGAGAACCATGAGGTGAGTGATTTCCACTCATCCTCATAGTTAGAGCCGACCCGTGACAAAGAAGCTGTCAGCGGTCGGCTCTATTGATGGGTAGGTGAGCAGAAACATGCACCGATCCGCTCACTTCCCTACTGTCTGTCACCGCTCCCCACAGGAATTCCCCCTCCTCTGTCTGATCCTCCAGCGCTGATCGGGGGAACAAATGCGGGAGGGAGCGGGCACAGCTGGCTTTGCCTCTAGATAGGCAGAGCCAGCTGTCACTCACACAGCTGGGTGGATCTCGACAGCAATAGCCTGCAATATACTGAGCTTTAGGGTCACAGAAGGACATATACTAACCTCCTCCAGTGACCCAAAGAGAACTATGGGGAAAAACACTTGCCCCATAGTTCTCTTAAGTTGAATAACTGACCTGAAACAATCATGCACCCACTCGAGTACACAAACCTACAATGAACACATTTGTTCCAAGTCAGTATTTTAGAAAATATTGAAGGAACTGGTTCAAATAACGGCCATGTATCTAGCATTTACATGAGAAGTTAGCCTTGGCAAACTACATTTTTATCTTCGTACAGATATAACTACATAATTTTGCTAACGGAGTGACAATGCTGTGCTACTCAACACCTGCACTCTAAATAGCTATATATAATTTTTGACCATTCTTTTCAGACCTGATTATATTGGGCCATTGTTGTCCTCTTGTGGTTTCAGCGCATCTCCCATCCTTCAAACAATGATGACCATGAGCTTTGTTACTAGGGGGTACCTCGGGTAGCTTGGTTTAGTTGTATAATAATCTTTGAGGGCCTGTTTTCTTAAGAAATAATATCAAATTCCTTATTATAAATTGTTCAACAAAAAAAAGCTTAGTTATTGTGATTGGTTAACCTTTTACTGAGACTACCTAATTCTACTTCATCCACCACGGCTAACCAGAAAACACAGGAAATCTAGTTACATAGTTACATAGTATTTGAGGTTGAATAAAGACATGTCTATCAAGTCCATCACAAGTCCACAACCTATTGCATGTGTGCATTTATGTTTGAGCAGGTGTGTGCGTTTGTATTAGTCCCTGTGTGATTTTCCATTTAGGCGTACCCGTACCCCTGTATATTATGGTTTCCGAGGAACTCGTCCAGGAGTTTCTTGAATGATTCCACACTCTTCGCTCAAATCACTTCCTGCGATAGTGAGTTCAAGACCCTAACCGCTCTAAATGTGAAGAACCCCTTGCGCCCTGAGTGTTGAAATTTTATTTCCACCAATTTTTGGTTGTGCCCTCTGGTCTTTGTTACGGAGCGAACTGTAAACAGTTTGTTAATAATGTTGCTGTCGCCCTTGAATAGTTTATACAGGAAAATCATGTCCCCCCTTAATCTCCTAACCTCCAAAGAGAACATATTTAATTTTAATAACCTTGTTTCATAGTTCAGGTCCTCGAACCCCTTAAATAACCCCTAAACAAAAACATATTTGTATTCTAGATTTTCAGGAGAACCATAGAACAAGTTAACCTGAATTACAATTTATATTGATTGACTTAGATATATAATTATGTATTGAAATTGGTGCACAGTATTTTTGTGGTTACAAGTGTTCATCTTATCTAGTTTATCATCATCTATTTATATCCAGAGGTCTTAGCTTCAGCTACACCTTAACAGATTGGTCCAGCAGGTCTCTTGGTGTAGATATCCATTCTGCCCTGAGGTAATTAGGTTGGGTACCTTCCCAGCATCACTCTGTTTCAACACAGCTGATAAGTGATTGGGTTTGGATTTTACACAGCCTATGGGCTTTCTGCGTCTGTAAACAAACGTGTAATGAAAAAATTTATAGAACGCACTACTGTACCTTTTTTGAAAATGCTGGTTGCTTGGCTGTTATGGTGATCCAAATGGTTCATTACTGTAAGTCAGATCACAGAGTGAAGTCGAACTCTTAACATGCATACTTGTTTTGAGTCTGAAAGTGCTGAAGGCCTTGGATCAACATGACAACCAGGGAAATCGTATTTTAAGAAGGAAACATGAGCAATGGCAGCCTCAATACATACCCAATTAACTACAGTTTTACTCTAAGAAGCTTATAATAAGAATAATGTTTCATGTTCTGTTTGATAGATTGGACTCTCGAATGATTTTGACATGAACATTTAAAGTTATTTTATTTTGCCATTTGTAAGGATTACAGCTGTATAGGAGTGGCTTCGGCAGCATAGATAGACAGGCTGATACAAATGCCCACACATTTTTCAGTCTGATAGGACATGCAAAAACATTAATTGTGTGGCCTGTTATTCATTATATTCAATCAATTTTCTGGGGGTCAGATTGAAAAGATAGCAACCAGCTTAGTTGGAAATTCTTTGATTGGTCTTGATTGGATTGCAGAAAATGTGACATTTTGATTTGTATTTTTGCTTGGTGTTTTATACCTTACCTTACATAAAAATTAAGATTTCTTTTAAACAATTATTGTCATTATTATAATCATAATTTGGGTCTAACAAAAATCAGCAACTGCGCCTTTAGACTAAAAGGAAATATTTCCAAATCTGATTAAAAGAAATTATTAAAAAAAGATGCACAAGTAAAGTTTATATGACCAGCTATAGCACGAGAGAGACAAATACATATAATATAATCACATACATAGTTTTATGTGATTATATTGTAAGATGTTGCCAAAGCATTAACTAAGCCTGATACTACGAGCTATTGACAGTTACCAGTTCTTGAAATAATTTAACAGCGGTGCCATCTACTGGCTGCCAGCATCTTCTACATGCTCTTATTACATAACAGAGCACTTAAGAGATCCAAAATGTTTGGCAGTCATGCATGCATCAAGTGATGCAGACTAAACCCGTTCAAGTAATTCACGCTACTGCCAGACTCCTGTTCTTCCAGATCCATATTCCAAGAGGGGGATCTTGGCCACCAGTACCTTGAGGAAATTGCTGGGTTATATAGGACAGTCATAGCTTTCGAACTTCTGTTAGTGTTTCATTTATTTATACTTGCATTTAAAAAAAAAAAAAAGATTTTACATTGATTTTTAAAGCTAAGTATTCATTCTAACATACAGTATATGCCATGTGGAATATGTTAGCGCTCACTAAAGAATCATAACAAATAATACTTGTGTGTTTGCACCACTTTCCTTGATTATTACAGCATGGTATGCAGTGTTGAGGCCTTGATGTCTTAAAGGGAATGTGCCATGAACAAAAAATAAAGCAACCTTAGAAGCCTCTGATGTTTTTGCTTGACTTGTAGACTGGATATTCATTTTCTGCTAGTAACTGCACTTTCAGTAAAGCTGATCAAATGACAACTTTAATTTGTGTAATTATCCTTTAAGTTCACTGTCTTCTTCTGGGTACGGGTGGAGAAAACCCCATTCATTCCCATGGAGAGGCTGTCAAGTATGCATGTCTTACTTCATGACCGTTTTCCTTGAAATTAAGAAGTTCTTGCCCATAAGAGCTGACACCATCGGGAACCTGAGGGGTTATTTTGGTACATAACACCAATTTTTGTGTCCACAATTCCAACATGTGGACAGTATGAAAATTGTATGTTGTGGTTACAATAAACAAAGCGTAAAATGAACAAATTAATAGCAAGCACTGTATGCCAAATTTGTGTGCCTAATGAAACAAACTAAACATATCCAAAAAACATCCGATATGCACTGCAATTGTGCTATTCACACAACAAATATAGAACAAAATCGAGTGACAATAACAAAACAGCATATAAAAAAATAAATAAAACACACATATATATATATAACAAAGCGCTAGAATCGCAACACTTTAGTGGCACATCAGGTGAAAATAAATGACATTAAAAAGCGCAATACCATGCGTTTTATACTAAAGCACTTTAGTCAGGGATGAAAAAATAGAAATAATTAGATGTATGCTATATTGATTTTCTTAGTTCAGTTAAATATGATGCTACATGCTGACTTTCTTTCCTTCTCCTCTCTTAGGAAAGGTGTTTGTGGCCTTCAGATAACTTAGAGTCACGACAAGGAGCGTCAGAGGTATATTTAAATGTTGTTTCTCCTTATTCAGATTTTATATACAAGTATCATAGGTTTAATGAAAAAAAAATCAACTCCCTTTCAGCACACAAGCATTCTTCTGCCGGTCTACGCTTTCTATTGTAAGATACATTTTGTTTTATTTAGACTTAAAAAAACATGGTTTTGCATGGAATGGACTATAGGCAAGCATCAGTGAGATTACAGAATGCTGCATTTTTTCCCCGATTTGGTTTGGGAGAAGGTGCTTCAATCAAGGTCCATGTGTACCCTGGACCTACTACTGTTTTTACTATATGTTCTATTATGCACAATATCTATTTCTGGTTTATTCCTCTCTCCTCTGCTCAATATTAGTTAAAAAAAAAGTTAAGCACACCCCTCCCCGTTGGAAATGTGTAAATCCTGTCAGTACTAACGGATTAGTCCATCCAAAATGTAAATGTTCGTTTCAGTGGATTAAATCACTGACCCGATTTTTACACCTCTTGGCGATACATATCACAGTAAGATTTCTACACCATAATTTCCAGATCAGCCTACTGCATATGTCTGTTACAAGGGGCTCTCCCTATTGGATTTCTCAATTTGGAGAATGTGGCAAGAAGCTTAAAATTGCCCTTGCTGTAGCTAATAGAGTAAGAGTCCATGGCAGGTTGGCAAAAATGGGAACCCCATACAGTAGATCTATGCTCTTGAACTCACTAAAATATTTTTTTTTTTTTAAACAGCAGGTAATTCAGACAATAAGCATATTCTCATTTGATAAGGGCTTTTGATTGTTTTGCTGTAAGGTTCATTACCTCTTCAGCTGGTGAAAACTCTGGTTCACTGTTTGTGTATGCGAAATTCCTGTATGATGGTTTGTTTTTTTTTAATAGGCCCCTTTTGGTTTATGTTTAGATACATATGCAAAGTTTGCATGTACAAATAGTTTTATACGGATAAATGAAAGCATAGTTCCTTTTTGACCATTTCATTTGTTGTCTTGCTTTATTGTAGATCATGTATGCATCAAGGTCAAGAGACAGATTCACGACTCCTTCCTTTATGCAGAGAGATCGTTTTAGTCGCTTCCAGCCAACATATCCTTACATTCAGCATGAGATTGACCTTCCACCTACTATTTCCCTGTCTGATGGAGAGGAGCCTCCACCCTACCAGGGTCCATGTACTCTGCAGTTACGAGATCCAGAACAGCAGATGGAACTAAACAGGGAATCTGTCAGAGCGCCTCCAAACAGGACCATTTTTGACAGTGATTTGATAGATATATCAATGTACAATGGGGGTCCCTGCCCACCCAGCAGCAATTCGGGCATCAGTGCAACCAACTATAGCAGTAATGGCCGAATGGAAGGGCCACCACCAACCTACAGCGAAGTTATGGGACACTATCCAGGGTCAACGTATTTCCACCACCAGCAAAATAACACCTCTCCTTCTCAGACGGATAGTAGACTTGCGTTTCAAGCAAATGATCCAGAGAGCACAATAGTACCTGTCAAAGGAAAAGACAAACAGCCAGGGAACCTTGTGTGAATCCTCCCAACCTGCACTTACTCCACAGTTAGGCAAGAGGTCATCATGGTTGTCTCATGACTTCCGCAGCTCAAGTATCCAATGCGTTTGAGTTTCAAGTGGTACAAGTTAAACCAAATGCACATATTAATGTATGCTTATTCTGATACCAGTCAGAGGAAAGCATGCAATGGTTTGAATGATATACACGTCCTTTCTGTTATCTTCATGATTTGTTTCAGAAGAATAATTTTTATATTATCATATTTCAGTTATTTAAATTTTGCAAGATCTTGGCACAAAACTCAAACTTTGCAGAGCTTATTTTATACTGACATTGATGACAGTCACATAGAACAAGTAAGTGTTAACTTAGAAGTGCTATGGTGTTTTAGGGAGATGGCCAGTGTTTGTGGTAGGGAATGTGTAGGTGCAGTGCTAAATATTTAATAGAAATCTATACCATATTCCAGGTGTATGTGCCATTGTATACAGTCTATGAAATGAGTGAATGAAATTAATGAATGTGCAGAGTATTAAATGTTTTAGGGCTAAATTCACTAAATTGCAGTAACAGACTTCAACAAACGTTAAGTAAAATAGTACCCTTGCAAAGTTAACATCCAACCTGTAACTTTTATTTTTATTTTTAATGTGTTCAGAAAAAAAGTTAAGTATATAAAGTCCATGCAGCTTTCCCCCATGTGGCCTGATACTGCTTCTGTCTTGTTACAAGAGGAGTGATGCACCTAATTTTTTTCCTGCTTGATATACATTTTTTTTTTTAAAGTATAGCCCTCCCGCAAAATATCAGTCCTTGCAGCATATGTGTTGTTATCACTATAGCTTAGGGGCTGATAAGCGTGTGGTCCATGACTGTTTTTTGTGTTTCCAAAGGAAGAAAATATGCCTCCCCCTTAAAATATCAGCTCATTGCTGTAGTACACTAGACTCTTACACAATATTGTGCACAAAACGCAGAAAAAACATGCTAAAGAGTCCAACACTGCATTAAGTAAAATATTTGTATTCAAAACTCCATTTCTTTACCATTTGTTATAGAGTATAAAAATAAATCCATGTGACCTTTTAGTCTTCCACATTCTCCATACTGTTAAAAATGTTTCTGTTGAATGCATGAATCAATTTTGTAGTTCATGTACTAGTGCTCTATGGTGAATCTCACACAGATTCACTTCAGTCTGTGAGAGGAGACCACAGGAATGTTTAACTCTGGCCAAGATTGTTTTCCTATTATTAAATGGTGGATTCATAGCATAGGGCATGGAAGACGGCAGACCCCGTGGATTTGCTTTTTACTCTGTTATAAAACCAGATCCCTTTTGTTAATTGCTTTTTTATAAATGTTTTTGTGTGGCTTCAGGATTAGAATTTTTCAGGCATGATTGGTTTGCTGGAACAGGGAATAACAAACTTACCTGTCTCCAAAAATTGTACTTAAGTGGCATATAGCCCTAGTTTGCACACCTACTTTTGAGGGCACCATTGGTGTGAAAGAGCCCTCCATTACTGGGCTGCTTGCTTTGTATTTTGGACCTATTCCTTTTGAAACACAGGGTTGAAACTATCATGCACATGTGATTGCATCAGTATAACAAAGGGTAATTAATGCAGCTGGCATGATGGGTTGATATATTTTATTTTGAAACAGTAAAAATGTACAAAGAAAATCAGACCAATGAACCATCTATTGCTAATGCTGTAACAACACGGGCTTGGCACTGGACAGTTCCTAAAATACTGATGCTTACGGTTTATTTTAAAACCAGTACTAATATAAAATGAATGGTAAACTCAGATAAGGTATTCGTGCTGCTTGTATTTATGCTCAATGTTGCATGCAAATTTTCCTTTTAACTGTTTATTTTTTTTAAAGTGCTAATCAGTATTTGATGTTAACGATAATTAAAAGTGGGTATATCGCTCAATTTACAAATCTTTAGTGAATCTAGCCCTTAGAGAAAAAGTTGCACTAACTGTTCAGGTTATCCTTTATGAGGGAAATGTGTTATGTTAGTCTATATTTATCTTGCAATATTTCCTGTTGTGGACTCAAGCTTCCCAATATTGGAGATGCCCAACAAAGGAGGTGTGCCACCCATGGTTATATACTTTATTGTGGTTATCTGCAACATACAAAGGGATTTGTTTAAAGGTCTGATCAACTACAGTCACGGGATAGTTAAGTGGAAATGATTGTGCTATGTAAATACATCTAACCGTAATGCCCTTTAGCCATAGTTAAAGCATGTGCTCTACACTTTTGGTTTCCCATTTCATCATGGATTCTTCTGCCTTTGCAAACAACACTCAAAAAAAAAAAAAAAGGAGCTACATGGTCTTTAATCTGGTATATGGGAGTACAAAGATAAGTATTCACATATCACACTCTGCTCTCAAATTACATTCTTCTTTAATAAAATAGTAGAAAGAATAAGACCTGTCCACACCCACACAGCTTTCATATGTCTCCAGTGCTAAAAGCTGATCTGTTGGTGTTTATGGGTTAGAACACATCTGTGCTCTCATGGCTTCCAATTAAATAAGCCACTAAGACTTTAAAACAATAGTGAAGATGGATAACCGTTTTGTCAGCAGGTTGAACTACCTACTGCCTTCTTATATTCCCTGGATAGCAAGATTTCTGCGACTGGGCTCTTAGTTCTTACCACCTAATAAAAGGTTGTCACACTCCCTGTTGGAATTTTCCTTTATTTGACATTATAGTCAATGCATACTTCACAGGGATATATAAGAGGCTAATAGGCGTTTTAGTCCCCCCTTGCAACAGATCTGTAGGGTTAGTCGGGCCAAGACTGGTATTTTAGCTTCGGGTCAACTGGTGCTTTAACTCTCCTCCACATGCTTCTGAAGCACAGCTTCCATAATGGTCCATACCTCAAACATGTGGTCTGATCTTTGTTAATGAAGTGTAAACTATCTTATTTAAAAGCGAAATAAAACCACTCTACCAAGTGCCGTATATATGTAGGTGAGGTCACTAAATGGAAGAATGCCTCTTCACATTTGGATAAGACATTTCTTATGTACTTTCTATTAAAACATTTGACCACCATAACATAAGTTTACATTACTGGCAGTATACATTATTACATATCTGGTTACATAAGGACATTTCTTATTCATGACGATGAGTGAAAAGCCTATATCAATAGTGAACACGCTGCAGAACAACAGTCAAGAGTGTTTGTTTCAGAATGTTTTAGTGGACCAGTATTAGATCTTCACCTGTGCATCTGTTTCCAAACTATGTGTTTCCAAAAAATGATGTTTGGAGTCGAGGCACCATGTTTGTGTTTTTTAAACACCATCTAGAGACTTAAATGTCGTTCACTTGCAGAAGACTCCAGGATTGTGAGAGCACAAAGAACAAATGCAGTTGTAGAGATCACTGCTCTGTGTTGACCATAGATGTCTGGACATTTTAACACAAGCTGTCTGTTAGGTCATTGTTACTTGGTTTACTTTACCTCTGAGAAGACACTTGCTGACACTTGGACTCACCACAAATAAGTGATTTGAAGTTGCACTTTGGCACAGGGAATTATAAGCGCAAGTAACAACTTCAGTGTCACTTATGCGATAGAGAATGACAGATGGCTTATCAAGTCTATGGCACTTTTGGATGTTGAATAATGCCGAGAGCCAGGATGTTGCAGCACTTGGTATTCTTCACAATTCTTACAATTTTTCCATCCATGAGCAGTATTTATTTCTCTCATTTTAACCCTTCTTGTTATAGAGAAAAGGAAACTTAGACCATTGTCTGGCCATTTGTGGTATAGATCTATTGATATTTCATAATTATGTCCCTCTCACATTAGTTTAACAGCCTAACACAATCTCTGTCTGCTTTTGATTTCATATGTTAACCATTTTTGTATTAAAAAAAAAAAGTAAAACAACATAAAAAAAGAAATTAATTCAAGGCTTTAAAATATGTTTTTGTTAAATTAGATTGTGTAAATTGCTGGCTTGTTTGTCCAAAATGCCTGGGATACTATTGCCAGGTACTCCCAGATGCCAGGGAGGAAGTTGTTAAATTATTTTCTAACAACTTACAAAAATGATAGGGCCCAAAGATATCACTACTAGTGACTTTGGGCCCCTAAAACCAGCTGCTATTTTTGTAATATAGCATTTGTGCTTTGAACAGATTCCTTTATGACTCTGAGCCAGGCTTTGGGACTGTACGGATATCAGTGTTAAATGGAAAACAAAAACAAAAAACTGCAACTATTTAAAGTACTATCAGTCTAAGAGCTTGTGTCGATAGACTTTGGTCTTGTGTAGATGGCATCAATTTGATACGCTTCTGGGATAATTCAGAAATTGACAGCTGCATTTGACCCGCTTCAAGTCGGGTTTGCATTCCCACAGACTTGTATGGGAAAGCAAAACCTGCTTAAAGCAAACTAAAACCCATCTACATAAGCCCTAAAGGGTATGATCTCTATCCTTAAAGATAAACTCCAACAACTAAATATACAGATGTAATGCATATATAGGAGCTGTTTTATCTGACAAAAGATGTGCGTTTCTTTCCATCAGTTCCTGAGATGTACACTGCTCTACCACACAGCATAGCCCTGTCTGGCAGGGCAGGAGACCTGCTTTTTCTCTGCTGCTGTTATGTAACACAACTTAGCAGAAGAAGCAGATTGATGAGCTTGCATCTCAGACACTCTGCTTGTGCTCTGATGCTGCTTGTTAGCATGAGCATTGCAGCACAATGGATTGGCTCATTCTGCTGCTTTCCCCTCTCCTACTCAGAGCTCTGCTGTAACATGGAATTGGAATAGGCTGATACCAAGTCAAATCTAGCTACGTACACTGCTTGTATTAAAAAATTAATAATGTATTATTTAATAGAGCTGAACTGATTTTTGTCTTTTAAAGCCTGGCGTTCCGCTTTAAATGTATTTTACAAGATAAATGCATTGGATCCCTGCTTCTGAAACCTTAATGTAGTAACATGGAAGATCCTCCCCTTCTGCATATCATTCTCTTGGGTAGCCCCAGAGCCATGTTTTCCACTTTTACCTGTACCATCAACTATACCCAATGTTGCAATTTGCCAATCCGATAGAAGAGAATTCTGTATATTCTTTTATACTTTGGTGCAGGAAGAGGTAGGTATTCCAGAAACATAAGGGAACTCATTTTCCCCAAATTATACAAAATATGCCATTTATTTATATGTTTAATGCATTTTGTGCAAGCAATGCTTATGTGGCATGGTTTACTTAAGGTCAGAATTTAAATAGTCAAGGTGCCGCACATTTAATAACTATGGGGACCTACAAAGCTCCATCATACCGACTTCAGAAGCAGAGCAGAGGAGGTGGATGACATTGGGGGACATTTATCAATTCGGTTGCACAGCAAAGAAATGCTAAGCAGGAGCAGTGAGCCAGAGTGTGAGACAGATTTATTACAAGGTCATAAATTCTAAAGTAGCTTTGTCACAGAATAAAACCTGACCCTGATCACTTTTTAATCATATGGCTGTTTAGAGTGAAAATTTGTTGCATCTTCAGTAATGGATAAGTCTCAGAACTTTGCAAACCAC